TTAACACAGTGTGATGTGGCTCTGGTTGTAGTAATGTAACTACCTGAGCACCAAAACCACTTCCTGCTCCTTTTTTGGAAGCCATGCAAGTATGGTGCTGAGTGGCTGCTTTTTGGCGTGTGCGCACTGCAGAAACACGTGCACTTGCACATCAGGGCTCAGCCTTTTTGTCTGTGTCAGGATATGTTTACTGTCATGTACATCCTGGGATCCCCAGCTGAGGACCTGGTCTTCCTCTCAGTCTGTTTTTAACATCTTTCCTTTCTTGTTGGGCTTGAGCAAATGTCATCCCACACTTTTTGAGGGGTTTTTTGTTTTTGTTCTCGCATGAAGGATCGTGCGAGATGCAATTCTGTTCAACTGAGCTGCTTTTACTTTTTTGAAGGATTCTTTATACTGTTTTATTATTGTTGTTGTTGCTATTTTTCTTGTCTGGAAATCTTAATAAAATTGTTCAGAAGAATTATGACTAATAAACAAGCTTATACCCATTTACTTGCCTTTGCTGCTGAGGATTTTATTGCTAGTTTTCTTTTCCCCAAAAAAACCAAGCTAGCTGTCCACGAGGAATATTTTACCAGTGTTGGAAACCATGGATTTTGCAGAGCACCTAAGGCAAAATACCTAAGTTTGCTGCACTTTAAAAACCCTGCTCTGTTTTCCTTGTTGGCTGTTGCTTATGCAGCAATGCAAATCCGGGTGGTAGTGGCCACCAGCTACCCTACCAAAGTCTCTCCTGTTAAAGAAAACCAGGAGCAGAAAGGCCAGGCTGGGGCCTAATGTGCATTTCCAAGCCCACATGGGACAAGATGAGGGTCCCTGCTGAGCTTCCAGCAGTTGGAAGAGGATTGCCAGCGCTGTTTGGGTCTATTCGGGGAGGTTTCGGGAAAGCCAGCATGCCCATGATGCACACAGCAAGCATAGCCCCATGCCTGCACACCGCTATGGGGTGTCAATTGATGTCCGGAAGGTAAATGCACGTGACTATTACACTTTAAAAACCCACTGGACTACTGTACCAATTGGCTGCAACATAAATGATGGGGTATTCATTAAAATAACTATTTAATCTCCTGGCTGACTTTTGTGGATTTAACATTAACTATTTGTTTTGATGACTACCCTGTCCTTGCTGCCCTGGATGCCTGGGGCCTCGTCTCTCATCCCTGGAAGGTCTGGGCCCGTCCGGGGGGGTGGCCACCCCCGCCGTCCTTCCCTCCTTGCTCCTTTCTGGCTGGGGGGGGCAAGGAGCATCCGGGGAGCTCTGCACCTGCCCTTGCTGGGACCGAGGGCTGCAGCATTGGGGCTGTGTGCTGGGGGCCCCGGGGGGAGCCTGGTCCCTTCCCCTCCTCGGGCAAGACTCGGCGCGCGGAACCAACGACTCCCGCCAGCGTTCCCGGCCGGACGGCATGGGGTGTACCGGAAGCGGCCGCCAGGAAGAAGCGCCATGGCGGACCGCGAAGGGAGGCCGCCGGAGGAGACGCTGCGCCGTTGGGAACAGTAAGGGGGCGCTTCCGGCCGCGGGGCGTGCTGGCAGTTGTAGTGCGGCTGAGCTGCCCGTGCGCATGCGTGCGGGCCGGGCACATGCGCCAGGTGTGGTGCTGGGCTGGGGTGGGGCAGGTCCCGTAGGACTGGGCAGCAGTGCGTCGCAGTGTCCTCCAGTGCTCCCAGTATCCCCCAGTCCCAGTATCCTCCAGTGCTCCCAATGTCTCCCGGTATCCTCTAGTGCTCCCCGGCGCCTGCCAGTGCCTCCTAGTATCCTCCAGTACTCCTCAATGTCTGCCAGTGCTCCACAGTGTTTCCCAGTATCGTCCAGTGCCTTCCCAGTGTCCTCCAGTGTTCCCTAATGCCTGCCAGTGCCTCCCAGTACCCTCCAGTACTCCCCAGTACCTGCCAGTGCTCCTTAATGCCTGCCAGTGCCCCCAGTACCTGGTGAGCCCTGGGCAGCACCAAGCGGATGCCCCAAGGGGCTGGGTGCTTTGCCCACAGCCCTCCCCACCCTTTAACCCCTCCACTTCCCAGCCCGACCCCGGAGCGGTGGGAGGGGACCGTGCGGTAGAGCCGACCCCGCGCAGCGGTGGACGTGGGAGTCTTGGTCACAGAGGAGCGGGGCTGGAAGGGACCTCGAGAGCAGGGTTTTTTCCCAGGCTTTTCCAACCCAGCGCACACTTACACGAATAAAACTTTCCACCGCACACCTGTTGCAGGTTGCTAGCGGTGCACGATTGCTGGCACAAGGGTGGGCAGGGAGCCCAAGGCACAGACAGTCCTTGCTGGCGCTTGATCCCAATGTTAATGGGACGTTTCCGTGCCCCCACACCGCACCTTCCTCCCCCTGGTTTACCTGCCCAGGAGACCAGGGACTTGGCATAGAAGCAAAGCATCCTCGAGCCGGGGGACCATCCCAGACAAATCCCATGTGCAGAAACAGCACTGTCACCCCTGACACCACAGCAGGCATCACCCCTGGCACGGGGTCTGTGGCAACCAGTGTCCTGCTGCTGCAAAGGGGTGAATAGTTGCTCAAGAGACCCCAGGCAGAGGCCGTGCCCCACTGCAGAGCAAAGCGACCCCCCCCCAAGTCTGCACCCATCTGAGCAGGGGGTCAAATCCCTTCCTGCCCCCCATGCAGCATCGGTTTGCCCCGAAGCAGAGGCAGTCGCCAGCGTGCCGTGGAGTTTGTAAAGCCGGGAGAGTCCGTCCGAGCAGGAGCTGGCGGAAGGACGGGACGATGCCGGCCCTTCGCAAGGTGCAGACCCCAAATGCTGTCAAGAGTTTGGGGAAGCAAAAGCTCTGTTTCTGCCCACAGTTTATGGTCTTTCCCTAGAGAGCAGGCCCAGCTGAAGACCAGCGTGACGGAGGAGGACACGGAGGAGTGGCAGAAACATGCCACGTTCAAGGGACTGGAGCGAGTGGGAGGGGTGGACCTGTCGTATGTGGAGGGAAACCAGCCTCAGGCCTGCGCATCCCTGGTGGTGCTCAGCTACCCGGACCTCCAGGTAACGGTGCGGGAAGACATCCTACTGGGGCTATATGGAGTATATGGGTATATGGAGCAATGCACGGCACGGGTAGGGTTTCCACCAAAGCGGCTCCTACCACGGGCTCTTTTCCACAAAAGGGCTCAAGAAGAGGCTTTCTGTGGCTGGGGCGGGAGGGAAAGAGCGGGAGGCGTGAAGATCTCGGGTGATGCATTCCCAAGTCCATTTGGAAACACGTAACTTGCTTGCACTCTGTTGGGAGAAGCTACAGGGAAACTTTTGAGGCTTAAGGAGTTGGTTTTGGCATGCAGCCATTGCTCAAAGGTATGTCAGAGCATTTAATGAGCCCAAATAGCCCACATGCAGGCTTTGGGGATCCTAACTGGATTACACAAATATTGGAAATCATCAATTTGCCTTTATCCGGGAACAGGCCAGAATAAGGTCATTGCTTCCTAGCGCTTGCCAAGAGAGGACACTGAACACATATAACACTCGTAGACAGCTGGTGCCTGCCTTGCCAGTTCCATTTGGTTATCAATTAATAAGGAATTAATAAGAAATGTGATTTATAGCGGCACTTCCAAATCCGTCACGAATCCCACATTGTGCAGTCATTAAACGTTGAATCCGGAAAGACTGATGTCATCTGCTTTCCAAATTTCAAGCTGGTGCAAAAAATGTTCCTTAGAAACCTGATGCAAGCATGGGGATGTCTAGTGGCAGCCGTGGGGTCAACAAGCCGCATCCTGCGGTGGCTTTCAGCGGCCGTGGGAACAAAGTCACCTCCTGACCCCTGCTTTGTGGCTAGCAGGGACCTGGTGGCTTTTCCCACTTCGCTAACGCATCCGTTGTCTGAGCAGCAACTGCAGGAGTGGGAGAAGTAAAGATGTTTCCGTGCAGGTCGGGAGTTAAGCAGCCAGGTGCTGGGTCTTGGGGTGAAGCAAGCTGATTGCAGGGGTCCCCCGCCCCGGGTTGCCTCGGCAGGGTTAAGCCCGGTCCCTCTGCGCTGTCCTGCCTTGTGCCAGGTGCTGTACGAGGACTGCCGGGAGGTAGCTGTGAGTGCCCCGTACGTGCCAGGCTTCTTAGCCTTCCGCGAGGGCCCCGTCCTGGTAGAAGCTGTTCAGAGACTGCAGGAGCAGGAGCCCAGGCTCAGCCCTCAGGTGCGGTGGGCACCTTTCGGGGGGAGGTATCCCGTGCACAAGCCGGGGGTCCCTGGCATGGTCGCGCGGGACAGGACAAGGACCTGCTCGCTCGCGTGGGGCTTCCCCAGTGCTCGGTAGCTGACCCATCACCGTGCGTCGTTTCCAGGTGCTGCTCGTGGATGGGAACGGCGTGCTCCATTACAGAGGTAACCGCCGTATTCCTGCCCCTACACTGGTACGGCCAGGGCATTCCCCATGTGCATTGCCAGAGCAGGGCAGAAGTCCTCCGTGCTGACCCTTTCCTGTTTCCTTTCACCCCCTCCTTGGCAGGCTTTGGTGTGGCCTGTCACCTGGGCGTCCTGACAGGCCTGCCCTGTGTCGGCGTGGCCAAAAACCTGCTCCACGTGGATGGCCTGGCCAAGGATGAGCTGCACAAGGAGCAGGTATGGCCTGAGCTGCAATCCCTCTTTTCCTCTCCTGTATGGGGGGGGCCAGAACAAAAGCCCGGGCTGCGGAAAGCTCCCTGCCGCCCCATCCTGGCCTCTCCCCGAAGAAGGAGCCGTGGTAGCCACATGCCAGCTGGAGAGGGCTTGTTCCCATTTCCCCCCTGGGTGTGCAGGAGGCACAGGAGGCTCAGAAATGGGTCCAGGGAAGTGCGACTTCTTCCCTGAGATCAAGAAAATAAAGGGGCAGGAGTCTCCGTGTGCCGGCTGCCAGCTTCTCTGCCCAGTGCCCAGTGCAAGCTCCACCAGCAGCAGCAGGGAGAGATGGGCTACACTGGTCCTGCTGCACCTTGGCCAGAAGAGGAATGGCTCCAGGCGGCCAGTTCCTTGGGTAGGGCTCTGGCCGTGCCCTCACCCAGAGCAAATTGATGCCAGTGACCCACCCCTAACGCTGCAGCCTTAGCAGTGGTCACTGGTCTTCGTCCTGGGTGCTGAGTTCTGCTGCATCCCCAGGGTCCTGGCTACCCCTTGCAGTGCCTGCCCCCCACTGCAGATGCTCCACCCGGCTGGTGCCATCTCCTGGGGTGTCCTGGGGCAGGGGAGCTACTTCAATGCTAAGTAGAGGCCCCAGCAAAGCTGGCTGCATCGTCCTGCACTCCCCAGACAGGCTCTTCCAGGGCTGCCGCCTGTGCAGCGGCTCCTACATGCTTGTTTGTTCCAGATCCAAGACCTGCAGATGGGAGGAGACACGTTCCCACTGACGGGTGCCTCGGGCAGGGTCCTGGGCATGGTGAGCCTGCTGCCCGCATTGCTTGCAGCTGGTCCATGGTGGGGGGTGGGGGGGAAGTGAGGGCAATTTGACTTGCTACGTGCAACTGTCTCTGCATCAGCCCAGCAGAGCCAAGCTTGAGCTGGTGCTGAACCCGCTCCTTAAGGAAGCCCTGAGGGGTCCCCATGTGTGGCGTGCTGTCATACATGACAGTTGTATGTGAGGTGCCTTGTCCTGGTGTCTCTGGCTGTCCTGTGCCCTTGCAGCAAAGGAGCAATCTGCCCAGGGGGGACAGGGCTCTGTGTGGATGGGGGGCTGCCCTGTATAAGGGTCCTCATTGCGGCATAGGGCGAGTATCACCAGGGTCTTGGGTAACAGACCTTGCCCGGGGGGTTCCCTGGCCGAGAGGGGCAGGAGAGGCTGGCTCCGCACGTGTGTAGCGGGGCCCATAATGGTGGTCTCTGGTGCCCAGGCCCTGCGCAGCTGCAACAAGAGCACAAAGCCCGTCTACGTGTCCGTGGGCCACAGGATGAGCCTGGAGTCGGCCGTGCGCCTCGTCCAGTCCTGCTGCAGGTACCGCATCCCGGAGCCCATCCGGCAGGTGCGTGGCTGAGGGGGCTGAGTCCAGAACGGCGATCAAGAGCATAAAGGGGTGCTAGGCAGCTGTGAATGCCTGGGGTCCTTCAACTCGCCACCCCGAGCACAGCCCGGTTTGAGTCTGCAGCCCAGCTCGGGATGTGTGTCGCCGTATGCTGCAGGGAGCTGCTGGCTCCCGGCACTTGGCATGGCCAGGAGGTGGCAGCTCTGGATCGTAGCACAGGCATGGCCCGTAGCTCGATGCTAACGAAAACGCAGCAAGGCTCAGAAATAAGTCCAGGGAAGTGTGAAGCCGCTGGGATTTATTCCCTGGCAAGAGCTTCCTTTCCCTCGGGGTCACCCTGCTGTCCACGGCATGGCCAGCCCGACCCGCAAGGGAGCACGATGCCCTGTTCTTGTAACGTCAGCCTGGGACATGGAGGTTGTGGTGCTGTATCTCCACATCTGTCAGGCATCCGCCCGCCCCTGTCCTGAGCGCGGGGAGAAGACCAGACCCCCAGGCTCTGCAGGCAAGGGCTCATTATCAGCCTTGCAACATTTCTGGAGGCTGAATTTCAAAGTGATCTTTGGTTGCAGACCAGCCAAGACACCTTTAAAGAGCAATCAAGCCCCAAGTGTCCAATGCAGAGCTGGTCACTTGAGCTCCTGTGCTCCCCTCCCTTCTCCAGGCAGCCTGAGGGGCCCCGAGTCCCTCGTGCCCTGCTGCTCTCGCTGCCTTTTGTCACCTTGTTCCCATTCCCACACCTGTTGTGGCTGGTCGCGCTGAGGCACTTGCAGCTAATTAAGGATGTCCATGACAGCAATGGAAACATACCCTTCTTGTGGCCGGTTTGGAGGCTCCCGATGTCTTTGGGCAATGTGCCTTGCAGCTGTGCAGCACGGTGCATTGTGCAGGTCTAAGGATAGGTCAGACAAGGATGTGCATGGGATGGTTTGGGCAGGGGAGATCCTGCTCAGGCGGGGGCTTGGACTAGATGAGACCTCCGGAGGGTCCTTCCAGTCCCACTGCTGTAGGATTTGTTGGTGTGATGGAGTGAAGAGCCAAGGTGAGTAGGGTTGAGCACCGTGCAGGGAGGGAATGTGGGCATTGTCACCTGCCCCTGGACAACAGCAAGGAGCCTCCCCTTCTCGCTACCCCAGCACCTCCCTCGGGTAACATCCCCACTCGCTGAGGGGAACCGGGAACAGGAGCGAGGCATGAACCTATTTGCACGCCCGGGGCAGGACGCTGGCACGCTGGCTCCACCGGTTCCAGGAATCGTCCCAAACCCAGGCGGCTTGCAGCCGAACTCAGCTCTTTGATTCCCTCAGGCATGGGGCCATGGCGGCAGCTCTCAGGAAGTCATTACCATGCTGCAGTGTCAGCGGGGGCTCTGCACCAGCTGCGGAGACTGAACCCTGCCTTCTGGCACAGGGGTGCGTGGGCCCAGGTCACACACCATGGACCCCAGGCAGCACCTGGATTATGTGCAAGGGGGCTCATTTGCATTTGGAGACGGAGGTGGCCAGGCTCGTGAGGCCGCGGGTGACGCAGGCATGGGCAGCGATCTCACAGAGCGAGTGCAAGGAAGTTCATTATCTGCTACAATAAATATTTGTATCCTGCCTGGCCTTGTTCCCTGAGTAAATGCCAGGCCGAGGTGGGAAAGCTCTCCCTGCAGTGAGGAAGCGGGCACCCCTGGTCACCTGGGGATTCAGCAAGTCCCTCGGCAGGGGTCTGGTCTGGGGAGAAGACAGCACGGGCACGGCCCAAGCAATGGCACCTAGCGCTGGGAGTGTGGTGCTGGGGCGCACGCTGCCCCTTCCCAGGATTCAGCACATGCTGAGCAAGGGAAGCTGTGATTCAAGGGCTGCTCCTGGCTGGGTGGTGTAGATGTGCTCTAAACCTTCCCCTCTCTGTTTCTGTGTCTGGGTCAGCCCCCCTCTCCCCATTGTAGGAGCTTCCTTAGGCCAGTACGGGTGAGATGGCCATCCATACGCTGCCTTGGCCAAAGCACCATCCCAGGACTGGGTAGTGGGCTAGGACCAGCTCTCTTTCCTCTGCTGTTGGGCTGCACACCAGTGTCTTGCTCACTCAATGCTCCTCTTATTTTGCAGCATCTCAGCGGCAAGTGGGGCAACCCATGGGGCTGCTAGTAGCCCACTGAGATGGGGGAGAGACACAGAGGAGCCAGGATATGAATGATTGGCTCTGCCTTGCGGGGGAAATTGCCCCGAGCTCCAGCATTCCTGGGCAATGGGTCTCCTGCACCCTGCTCTGGCACTGCCTGCCATTCCCAAAACAGCCGTGGCAGGACTGCTGGACCCTTAATGCCAACACTCGTCCCCTCTGAAAATAGAAGCGATCTGCAGGGATTATTGTAGCGCACGGCTCCAGCTCATTGATTGGCCTCTCGGTTAATAAGCTGGGCTCAGCCATCTGCACGTAACACTGGGGGCGAGGCTCTAGCAGGTGACTTGCTGCCTAAACCAGCATTGTTGGGAGGCCAGCCTTAGGGTTCACTCCCGCCCCGCCCAAAGCACCTAAGTGCATTTGGCTCCGGCTGCCCAAGTCTCCCAGAAGGGCCTCTCTCCAGCAGGCGTTTTCCCTTGTTATAAATTCATCCCATGATGTCTGAGCCTGAAGGGTGATCAAAGTCATCTGTCAGCTGAGTTTTGAAACTGTCCAATTATTGGGAGAAGGGGAGAGGGGAACATCTCCCAAACAAGGCGCTCCATCTGCAATGGTTTTTCAGACCCAGGGATGTGGGATTCATGAGCAGCCGTGAACCTGCCACTCCAGAAAGGACTGGCTGAGTCCTGGCAGGGTGGGAGAGGACTGTGGGGGCAGGGAGGGCATCCTGATAAACAGGACAGTTACAGCCCCCCCACCCCTGAGTGTTTCGAACCCAGTTCCTTGCACCCTCGGGTACTGTCATCAGTGGCCTCAGTGCTGGGAGGGCAGCGTGTCATGCAGCCATCTCTGGGCGGGACACAGCAGCCCTGAGCAGCTTCTGCACTGTCTTTAAAACAGGAGATATGAAAAGCAACTTTTCCCAGTGAAATTCTGTGGGAGGGGAGGCATTGTCCAGCAAAGCTGGTCCTTGGCCAGGAGCTCGGGACTTTCACCTTTCTGCTAGTGAAAGTGCCTGCTCCAGTGCTACGTTGATGCACACTGGAGAGGTCAGGTGTCCCGCGGGCTGCTCTCATGTCCAGGGAGCCCCTTGGCAGTAGAGGGGAGGCATCACTTGGTGCCTCTCCCACCTCTGCAGCTGGTCCCATAAGAGAGAGCAGCAAAACCCCATTGCTTCTGGCCTGTCTCCTCCACTAGCCCAGCTGCAGCAATGCTTCAGGCCGGCTGGCTGATGAGGGCTCCTGTGGGGCTGGGGGTCATTCCTGCCTGGAAAGGGGGCAGGGAAATTTTCTGTTTCTGTTCCTCCTTCCTGCTCTTCTCCCATCAACAAGCCCTTTCAGGGCAACTGAGAGTCCGTCCTGGCAGCGCTGTGAGCATGTCACTGTCCCCAGGCCCGGGGCCATTCAGAGCCGTTTCTGCTGCCTGGTGCAGCTGCCTGCAAGCCCTGGGCAGGACTGGTCAGTTTAGTCCTCGGCTGTTTCTAACCCATCTCCTCTCCCTTTCCAGGCTGATCTCCGCTCCAGGGAGTACCTCAGGAAGCACTCCCCTTCTCCAGCTGGCACTGCGCTTCCTGGCCCTGAGAGGTATGTGCATGGGCAGCCCGAGCCCCCAGCCTCGGGAGTGATGTCCTTGGCTAATTGCATTACAAGACAGCTGGGGGGACCGGTTGCGATGGAGCAACAGCAGGATGCAGAAGTCCTGCTGGGCATGTCCCTGCCATGTTGTGCCTCTTTCCTTCTGAGGACTGTGGTGTCCTGCGGGGGGGAAAGGTCATGGGGATGGTGCTGCCTTCCAGCATTGCACAGTGCTGCAGCCCACGCAGGGGATGCAACAGCCAACCAAAATACCCTGCTGGGAGCAGGCCCCCGCATCTAGGCAGGAAGGAGAGGGCCAGCCCCGCACCACCGGGCTCCTTTCAGTGCCATCTGTCCGTGTAAATCCAGAGCACAAGCACAGGGCACCTCTACTGCCTGAACACCAGCCTGGTTCATGGTGGCCACATCTGTCTCAGAGCCCGACGGATCAGGACCAGACCCAAAGGGCCTGGTTTTGGAGTGAGTGGAGCGAGGGACAGGCAGTGGATGGAGGCACAGCCCCATATTTTAGGCTGGTCCTGCTTTGAGCAGGGGGGGTTGGGCCAGATGTGACCTCCTGAGGTCCCTTCCACCCTCATTTTCTATGGTATTCCTCAGCCAGCTCCACCAGCACACCTTGGGTCACGGCTTCCCTTCGCTCCATGCAGCGACCGGGCTCTCGCCACCTCTGCCATGCTCAGCTCCTCTGCAGTGCTGCAGTCTGCCCTAGCTGCGCCCATCTGGGTGCCTCCCCTTCATCTGTGTCGGAGGAGGTGGTGGGGCAAGTTCAAAATGGGACTGGACACATTCATAGGTGATAGATCTGCTAATGGCTGTTCAACAGAGATGTTTCCCCTCCCAATATGTGGGGGGTATTGCATAGGGGAGAGATCCAGTTTGGTGCTCTCCCCGTATAGCATCCACCCCTGCCACTGTCAGAGACGGGACCCCAGGGTCGATGGACCATGGGGCTGACCCAGTCTGGCATTGCTTATGCTCTTGTGTCCCACCTCCCTGCTGAGGGTCGCACCAAGCCATGCTGTGTTCAAGACACCAAGCTCTTGCTACCAAAGGGGAGTTTGGTGCCAGTCTCTGGAGACAATGTCAGCTGCTGGTACCGTGGGGCCAAGCAGCATCGTAGCTGTCTGGCTTGGCTTCTGCTGACCTCCCCTTGTTCTGCTTTCCAGGAGGGACGAGGGCACTGAGCCTAAGCACTGACCTGGCACCAGCAAGGTGCAGCAGAGCCCCTGCGTGAGCACGTGCCTTCCCCGAGCCCGAGCCCTCTGCTCAGCCCGGACACCGCCAGACACGAAAGCCAGGGAGCTTCCAGGTGTGGGACCACAGGCAAACCACAACCACGCCTCTCCTGTGCTGGGCCAGAGCCCTGCTCTCAGGCTGTTTGCAAAATCCGTATGATTTTAAAATAAATGCAGCAAAAAAATCAGTCCTGGCAGCAAGAACCAAGCAGGAGCTGGGTGGCGCCTGGCACTGGTTTTGGACCAGAGCCCCAGATTTCGGTTCGGGGGCACAGAGCAAACGGAGTCGAAAAGAAGCCAGAGCCACGCGTCTGGCCCCTGGCTCCCGCCATGCCGCACCGCAGCCGGCACGCTCCCTGCCGCTTCACACATCTCGAGGGAACAGAAGCCCCGGCGGCAGCTCCGGCTGGTCCCGACAGACGGGCAGAGGACGCTGTGTTTCGGGTGGGCGTGTAGCTCGCAGGGGAGGGGCTGGAGCCGGCAAGCTGCTGCCTGCGTGGAGGAGGGGAGAAGCTGGGCTCCGCAGCGGGGGCGTGGGATGCTCTTGGCCTCCTCGGTGTTCGAGGTCCTGCCTGGCATGTGGTCCCCTCCTGGCTGCTGAGCAAGACCCATTTCTTCTGCAAAAGCCCTTCAGACCTGTCGGTCCCTGTGGGACCCTGCTCAAGACCACCACTGGCAGAGCCCCCGCGGGGAGGCTAAGCCTGGGGGCCGTGTCACAGCAGCCAGGGACATGGATCAGGGTTTCCCGAAGGAACGAGCCTCTGCCAAGGGGCATCTTGTAGCGAGGGTCTGGGTTTACCCAGGGGGCTGTCGAGCCAGGTCCTGACTGGACTGGGGGGGCTGACGGAGCAGCGGGACAGGTCCCCAGTGCCTAGTGCACTAATCCATCAGGCGGGCTGTGAGCTTTTGCATTAGCAGCAGAGCAGAGAACAAACAGCTCTGATGCCTGAATCAACACAGCCACCGAGTCCAGCCTGGGCCGGAGGGACAGCTCTGTGGCCGGAGGCAGCAGGTTCTTCCCCATCTGTTTTGCTGGCAGGGACTGGACGTGGCCTCTGTCTTGGCTGCAGCAGAGACCTGGGCAGAGCTGGCTTCAAGGAGCCTCAGCGGGAAGGAAGGGAGAGTTGTTTCGGGGCCCAGGCAGGGCACCAAGGATCCCTGGGTCCTCCTGCAGGCAAGATAACCCCACTCCGTCCCTGTCATCCCATCCTCTCCCCATCTCCGGTGCCCCCGAGCTGCAGAATGGCCCAGCTGGGGCATGCGTCTGCATTGCATGCAGCAGTGGGGTGCAGCTGCATAGCCCCCTTGATAGGCTGGGTGACCTGTAGGAAGGTGCCAGCTGCCCAAAGACCTCCTGGCTACAAGCAACAGAGGGAGGAAAAGACCTCGGAGGTCGAGAGCCACCAACTACTTGACCTTGAACCGGGAGCCTGCAGCCTCCCCGGATGCCGCTGGTGCCTCCAAGCCCTGCTCCCCCAGGGCTGCCGTGTAGGTGGGCAGAGAGCAGGAAGGAGCGAGTGTCAGGGTTGCATTGAGATGCTTTGATGGCAGGGGCGAGTGTGGGATCAGAGAGCCCCGGCTGGCAGGGGGGAGAAGCCAGGCCTTTGCGTCGGTGCCCGCACGCTGTCCTGCGAGGACCGGTGCAGGCTGCCAGCTGCACCGTGCAGAGGGCAGCGAACTCTGGTTTCCCGGTCCTGGTCCCCAGGGAGCAGCTTGGAGATGAAACCTGCTGACAAGCAGCACCGCTGCCTGCCAGCTCACAGAGCGGGGAAAGGACTGAACAAGTGCTGCAGCCTCCTCCGCAGCCGCCCCCTCCAAAGCAAGCCGCGAGCAGGCCCCGCGCTGGCAGGGAGCCGGGCGGCGCGAGAGGCCGTGCAGCTGGCCCGGCCACCTGCATGCCGATGCCAGCCAAGCCCTTGCACCCCACGGCCCCCGAGTGTGGAGAGGGGATAGCGCCAGTGACTCACTGACACCGGGGAAGTCGCTGTTACGGGACAGGAGGGTAATAATTAGCACCGGGGGAAAGTGCTCCTTGCAACAGGTCAGACAATCTGGCATAGCTGGCCAGGGCCAGCTGTGCGCAGCAGTCAGCGTGCCAGGGCTTTCAGGTGGCACGGCCCCCCGTCCTTGGGCCACAGCCATTCATCCAGCTGTCCTTGGTTCTTCCCTTAGTGCCCTTCACGCTCAGCCCAGTGTCTCCCACCCTTGATATGGTGCCCCTCTCAAGGCCAGGTCCCGGCTGCTTGGCCCAGCAGGCGGCAAACAACTGCTCCCCTCGCACGTGCAGGCTCCTCAGGGACATGGGGAGAAGAGGGGGACGGACAGCACCCCTTGCCCAGTGCAGGGCTCTCCAGAGCTAAGAGCACGGGCTGCTACTGCTTGACCTCAGGAGCCTGGAGCAGGGTCCTTGCTCCCCGACAGCTGCTGGGGCACCTGCGTGCATGCTGATGTACACCTTGCTGGGGGTCGTTTGACCCCAGTACTCTTTCCTGCCATGGCACGGGGTCGGACTAGATGATTTACTCAGGTCCCTTCCGACCCTACAAACTATGAAACTATGCACCTGGGGGAATCGAAGGCCCCGCCACAGAGGTCAGAGGAGCCCTCCCGCAGGCTCCCGCCTGGCCTGGGTTAAGGGAGCCAGGTGGGTTTTTTGCAGTTGCTGATGCAAAGCAGTAACCATTGCCAAGGGCTGGGCTCTGCTCTGGTCTGGTCACTCCCAGGGCTTCCCCGGTCTCGGCGCGGCCACGTCATGCTACAGCTCTCGGGCTGCTCGGGGCTCTCCCCCGGCAGACCGCCCACCCCACACAGGCTCCGTCGGGATCCAGGGACCTGACATCTCCTCTGGGGCACCGAGGCCCAGGCTGTGCTTGCTACTGGGTGTCCTGCTCACGGACCACGCAGGATGCCCCGTCCCAGCAGCAGAGCAGAGGCAATGCAGTCGATGCCTGTGCAAGCTGCCCTGCCTCACTCTCCTCCCTACCCCTGTGCCCTGGTGCTGGCCCAGGGGTGGAGGGCAGCTCCCGCAGCCTTGCCCACCTTGCAGCTCCCAGCCAGGACCTTCTGCTTGCAGAGTCACCATGGGGATGGTGCTGAGATGATGCTCCCCTCTACACCCAGTTGGGCACGAACCCACCTAATGGATTCAGCACCTGCATGCCCCATGACATCAATGGGGCCCATACTCCGGACCCCCTGGCACCGAGCCCCTCCTGAGCTTCCTGCATCTTTCAAGGAACGGCTTAGCCCAGGATTGTCCAAGCTGGGCCTTATCCCTGCAGTTCAGTGCAAACTAATCTCCATGGCGGTTAATCCCAGCCAGCTGTGCTGGAGCACATCAGGAGTGGGCATTTAGGGGCTGGGGGCGGGGGAGCTGCCCCAGGAGCTGGGTCTTAAGGCTCCTACAAATCAGGCTATTGGGCCTGTGACCTTCAACCTCTGACCTTCTCCTGGCAGAGGGAGTGGAGCTCTTGCGGAGGGGACCATGCCACAGGAGCAGGTAAGTGTCTGGGGGGAGCTTTTTCCGGCACCGGCGACATAGGGAGTGCAGGAGGGTCCTGCCCCGCCACGGCAGGGCTGACGTCTCCAAGGGGCCGCGGGGCTGTCTTCCCCCCGGCTGCTCCTGGGTGTCTGTTCCTTGCTCCGTGCACGTCCCACGCCAGGCCCCATTGCGCTCGTGTGCACAGCGAGTGACCTCGGCTGTGGCCGGATCCCAGCCCAGTAGCAGCTGGCTGGAGCTGGTGGGCAGCTGAGATGGTGTTGTCCGGCGGGGATGCGCCCGGGGGCTCCCCAGCATCGGGCTCCCTCCGCTGGACAACCGGTCACTGCAGACGCACACCAGGAGTCTTCTGAGGGGCTCTGCAGTGCTTTCCCTCTGAGGCAGGGGCTGAGATCTGGGGGACTGAACCTCCCGCTCCAGGGGATCCCACATGTGCAGCTGGGGGTGCAAAGTAAATTTGTTTTTGCAAGATCCTAGTTGGTCTCATAAAAGAGATCACCCCCACCAGCAGTTGTGATT